ATTTTCATTTGCCCTGAACTAAGCTCTTCTCAGTCAGTCCAATCTGAATCCATTTAAACTTTCACAGCAACACTGATTCAGATGCAGGGGGGGAATTGGACTATCTGTACCATGCACAGGCTTCTCTTGCTTTCTATAAATTCACTAATATCTGATGGTTCATTGTCACCCAAGAATTCATATTATATGAAAAGGAAATATGCTACTATGGAATTTGTGCTAGTATAATTCATTTGAATCAAAGGTTTGGAGATATGCTAAGACTTCTCACAAAAACTCCTTAAACCTGCCCAAACCTCTTTCTGTCATCACTTTTGCCTTTATAATCATATTCTGCTTTTGTTCTAATTGTGCATCCTCTCCTACTTACTTCTATCTATACCAGCAGTAGCTTACTGTTAATATGAGGTCAAAACATCCATTAACATATTGTCCTTATCCAATATGAAAAGAAAAAAATAATAAAAATAGTTAGACATTACATCATGTTGAAGCTGGATTAGTTCTGGATCAGTTTTTAACCTGGGCAAATCTACTGTGCTCAATATAACAAAGAATATAATAAAATCTGTAGAGCTGTAATGAACACTACCTTTGTCTACCATAATAATATTAGAAATGCAGCTATAGAAAATATGGAGAATGTGTTTTCATTGCTAAGAAAATATCAGACTAGAAAGAAAATGTGTTTGAGTACTGAAGTCCTCCAGAATAAGCATGGCTCTAAAATGTTTGTTTACATTTGTCAATATATTTGGACTACAAAATTTGACCCTATACAGCACAACCACCTTTTCTCTACTGGGTACCTTATATGAATTTGGTTATTGTGAGATTTTAGGGGCATCTAACTCTAACCTAAGTGGATTAGAGATTTGGAGGTATTAAACATGGCACAACTGTGATTTGTGAATTGTGCCAGACTTTTTCATGGAGGTCTCCGAATTCTTTAAGAAAAGATTATTCCTGCATATGTATGTACACAAAGACACAGAGAGGGAGGGGAGGGGGGGAGAGAGAATGTTATCAGTTCAAGAAGACAGCAAAATGTAAAAAAAAAAACCCTCAGTAAATTATAGACATCTTATTACTGATTATGTATTATCCCTAGTCAAGTAGGGGTGATTTGGTGAAGTAGAATTACCTTAAGAAAAACCTTTAGCTCCTTTCAAGCTAGACAATAGTATAGTTCTTGCAGGATACCATAGTCAAAGGACACTGAAAGCACTTCAGGTATTTCAGAGATTCAGTCACACTCTTACCTCTGTCATACATTTATCTTTATCTAGGCAGATCTTTCGGGGAAATTAAGGTTGTTTCCAATGCATACATAGCTAGCCACAGGGTTAGGTTATGTAGATTCTTAATCCATTTAATTCAAAAGTCCCCAACATTGCCTACCCATTACAAACCAGATTTCCATGCCCAGAAACAGACCATTTCAAAGCAGCTCCTAATTCTCCAGTTTTTAGGAATGTCAGTGTTGTCTTATACATACAACTTTCTTACAGGAATTTTTACATGGTTGGGAAATGCTCATTCTCAAATACAAATATATACTGCTCCCTGGATAATTATTGTTTACCACAAATAATAAAACCAGACCAATAACCGCAAATATGCTATTAGTGAATTAATCCAAAGGAGTTATCCATCCATATATAAAACAGGGAGAACATACAGCTTTCACATCCCATTTTTACAACATCTAGATCACCTAGAACAGGGGTGTCAAACTCACGCTGAATGCATCACGTGCTGGCCCCACCCCCTCCTGGTTTAGCAAAGGGAGAAAAAAGTCCCAATATGTCACATGACGCTGCTGTGACACCGCGAGTTTGACACCTCTGACCTAGATCTTGGGAGACCTAGAGCCAATTTTGTATAGTTGTAAAGTACCAGACTAGATGTAAGTTTTAGTCCTGCCTTAGCCATGAAGCCTTAGAGCAGTCCCCCTCCCTCAGCCCTTGGAAGTAGGCAATAGCAAACCACTTCTAGAAAAGTACAGCTGCCAGGAATCAAAAACAGACTCAAAAGAGCACTGACATATGCATGCACGCACACAACTCCTTACCACAAAATCACACTCTTAACATTTGACAATAAATTGATGGTTTATTAACACAGTTTACATTTGATAATAAACCAACGTTTTCCTATTTTTTTAAAAAAAAACATTAAAATATTTTGTGTTATACTCCCAAAATATTATTTTATCAATTCTTATGAATAGATAGATAGATAGATAGATAGATAGATAGATAGATAAATAAGAACTGTTCAAAATGTTACCTCTGTTTTCCCTGGTGGTATTTTCATGCCATCAAATAAATAAAATTAAAATTATGCCCCCATTTGCAAAATCGATGTCCATGTCTAAGGCACCTGATGACCTATTATCCTATCATATTTGACTAATGCACCTCTGAATACATTAATTGGCCATGACCTGCAGTAGAAGGCAATTCTTATTAAGCAATCCACAACTCAAGTGGCATTCAAATTGGGAGTCCATGTCTGATGCTCCACCTGTAAAACACTGCAAAACACTTGTTCACATTCCTCCAAGCTCTGAGACTCTTAATAGTGTTAGCCAGACATAAAAGACCTGCTCTTCTAAATGCCATTGTGTGTGTGCTGTACAGATGGAGATTCTTTTTGTTGCCAGCAGAGCCACTGAATACACCTTCAAATGGCCGCTAGCCTATTTTCATTCATATTTATTCTGAGTTTCCTGCCAACATTGCTCAACCAGTCAGCCCTGCTGCTTCACTGGCAGCAAACAGTTCTCTGAAATACCAGGAAAATACATGAGCTCTTGCACAGAAGAGGAGGGCTTGGAAAGCTGGCTGTCAGCTACCTGAATTAGTTCCCCATTCCAAAGACCAATAACAATTTTAACAAAATACACAGCTGGGTTGGCTAAAATCTGGCAGCAATTTAGAAAGTATCCATATCAAAGCCAATTTAGGAGGCATACCATCTCAGAGAAAAAGCCACAGAAACCAAACTTCTTCATCAGACTGGAGAAATGTTCTTGAAATTTGCACGATCCAAAAACAACACACAGTACCAAATCCAAAAGAAGAAAAGACATATGTTATGAGCCTGTTTCTATGAAGCATTTTATTTTTCTTTAGAATAGACATAAAAACCATGACAATTCTTACATGTTATGATTCCAGGTCCAAGACCCTAAAACAGAAAGAAATCTAATCATGCCGTTCCATGCTGTTAAATTCACAAAGCTTGGAAGCAACCATAAAGGAATTGTATGTTAAAAAGAGGGAGGGGCTGCTAAATCGTGACAAAGGAAAAGTTAAATGAGGAAAAGTATGCCAAGATTTCACCTTATAGCAGTATCCATTGGAATATTAACTAACTATATTTCTTGAACAGGGTCATTTTATGAAGTAGGAATACTCACAGCCTTTCTAGCTAGAATTATTTCTTTGAGGAAGTGCAACCTAAGATTCATTTTTAACCCAAGGATGCATTTGCTAACCTAGTTCTTAAATATTAAATGGGTTGTTGCTACCTATTGTAAGTAACTCACATCCCCTGTAATGGTCCACTCCCACTAGCTAGAACAATGAACTGAAGTGCATTAAGACCCTTTACGGGCAAAATGTATTCAATTAACAAAGGATAATCATAACACACTATTTAGCCCCATGTCACATCATCCTTTGTACATAGACAGTGTCTATTCAACATAGGTCATTAAATACAAAATTTGAAATTGCAAAATGAAATGTGACTTTGGTGCCAGTGTTAACTGACAGTTCATGACAGGGATGTCAAACTCACATCGTCATGTGACGTATGGGGGCTTTTCCCCCCTTCGCTAAACCAGATGGGGGTGGGGCCAGCACATGACTTATCCGGCCCCGGGCCACAAGTCTGACACCCCTGGCTTATGATATACCAGTCAGGCACTTATTTTATCCAAGATCCTTAACTTTAGCCCATTAGTAGCTTCAAAAAATATTGAATGAAGGATGAAGGAATTGTGAGACAAAAGTTATTGACTGCTAAGAGCTTCATAGAATTATATCCAAGGTCCATCAGATACAACATTACTTGCCACAATGCCCAAGTAAATGTTTTTAGAAATCTCATGAGTAGAACATGAGTCTAACAACAATTTCTTATTAAAGCTCCCCAGCAACTGGTGGTTACTGGTAGACTGCTTCAAAATTTGGAGAATCTATTCGCTATAATTTATAATAATCTGAGAAGTTCTTAATGTTTAAACTAAAGAGTTAATAACAGTTTTAAATATATTTTGCCTGTTTCAAAATTCTTGCTACTTAACAATGATTCACTTTTCTTGTGGACCCACAGTAGATAACCACAATGCCCACTAAAAGCAAATGGTACGATTCTATATTTAAGTATCAGCATATAAGTATTTTGAACCTGAATGGATACTACAAAACACATCATTCCTTTTAAAGTATCAGTATACATCATCAGGCTGCTCCACAAATACATACTATGGTAGGTAGGTAAGAACAGATATCATTTTTCTATCTGAAAGTTGCAGTGAATCTTTTTGAAATAAGTCTCTGTGTCGCCCATGAGTGTAAGTATGGTTGGAGTTACAGTTCACATATGGACATATACAGTGTTTACAGTGAACATCAACCATTTCATACTGATAATGATCAGTGTTCAATATTATTATGAAAGAGGTGGGGATGGAGTCATTGTCAGCCAAGACAAGGAAGAAACAGAACTAAATGGGGAGTGGTATTAAGGAAAAATGTATTTCTTAAGTTTTTTAAAAAATTAAATTGATTTAACTTTCAGAAAAGTTAGCAATAATCTAGAAAAAAATTAACAGGCAACATATTTTAAAAAAACTCGCAGAATAAAGCTTAAAAGCTCTCCTTTCCCCTTTGCGTTATATTTATATTCCAAATAGCACACCCCACTCCTTGAAACAAATGCTAAAAAAAAAAACCCACACCATTATTTTATTCTCTTGTACTCACCCTTTGCAGGAGAATTCAACGATCCAAATTCATAAGCACAGAGGGGAAAGGGGGGGAACTAAAAGATTAAAAAGGGGATGGAAGGAACAAGGAAACGGGAAGGGGGATAACAAGAAAAAAAAAGAGAGACAACGGGGAGACTTAAAACAGCGGGGCAGGAATGTGATAAGAAGACGCGAAGGGGCGATCCACGCTGCTAAGGACTAATACATAGACCGCCGAGGGAGTCAAGAAGCTTCTGCTCTATCCCATCACTTTGCTGTAGCCTCTGCCAAGCAGGGAGGCTGGCTGGGAGGGAAGTTGGTACTGCAGCTGGAAAGAAGGATGTGACACCGTAACAAGTCCAACCAGCTAGCCAGGAGGAGGAGGAGGAGGAGGAGGAAGAGAGACCTTGAGGAGCCGAAGCAGCTCGTGCCCTAGGAGGGCGGAGGCAAGAGAAGCAGGAGGAGCCCCGTGCTCAGGGAGCAGAAGCGACGGCGGCAGCGCTAACACCGCCTGCCCGCCTGCCCAAGGCATTTAATGGGATTGATGGGTTGTGCAGTCAGTGACTCACAGACTTTTGAGTTAGACACAGGAGGAGGTGGAGAGGGAACCCGCCCACCGCTCTCCAGGGGCCCTATGTCAACGCCAGCTGGCACAGAATGACGGCCCTACCCACCAATGCCTAGGCCGCTCTTTGCCCAAAGGCCAGGCGGGGGAGCGGGGGGGGGGAAGGTTCCCTGCCCCTTTTCGCTCAATGAGTCTTCTGAGGACACTGCCGCGGAACGGCGGGGCGGGCGGGCGGGGGTTGAAAAGGAAGAGCGGGTTGGAGAAGCTGGCCAGGGAGAGCAGCGGGGGAGGGATCCTGCCCCCCTCCTTTTCTGTCCCTGGTTTGTCCAAACTGGGCCAATCCCAGTAGCATTCGTTTGATAGACAAGATAGGGCCGCCCAATCACAGGGACAGGAGAAACTAGGGCTGCCTCTATCGTTTGTCGGGGTGTGTGAGTGTGTTGGTGTATTTGTATGTGTCGCCCCCCCCCCTCCCCTTCACGTCCCTCTGTGCTGATCGGCTGCCTCAGGCCGACTTGGGAGGCCCCTGGGTATTGACGAGGGGACTGCACACGGGGCGGGAATCGCGTTGTGGTTCCCGTTTCGCTTCTCTGCTACCTCAAGTACAATCAGGAGAGGAAAATCCAAAGGGTGCTTTCCCTGAGCGGGTTCTTTCGACCCTGGAAAAAAGCGAGCTCGGGCATTAGCGCAGCTTGTACGGCCGAGGCTTTTCGCTCGGAAGGCATCCTGAGCAGCCCCAACGTAGTCGCGGGTGCTGCCCTAGGGTGGCGAGCTGAGTCGCCCCGCGACTCGCAACAAACCTTCCCACCCAGCCTCCCGCCCGAATCGATTACTTCAGACGGCTTGGTCAACCTTCCAAGTGGCCCGCGGGACCCGCACGCTTCAGAGCCCCGGCTGGGTTAACTCGGGTTTATTACCGAGTCGACAGTGGGTTGGGTAAACAACGCACTCAGTCCTAACCCGAGTTGCTGGGAGGGTCCCGTACGACAACCCAGTCTGAAAGCGGACCAACCACCGTATTATGTTTTAACCGCGATGTGCGTGTGAATCGAATCATAAACTCGAATCATAAACTCAAAAGGGGGGGGGGACGAAGGGGCGCGATTCTGCCCAAACGGTGTCGGGTTTAAAGGGTACTGGAAAATAAGTCATTGGTGTCAGTAGATTCTGAGAATGTATGTATATATACATACATACATACGTACATACATACATATATACATATACATATATATATTAGGCTACAGTATATATATATATACTATAGCCTAATAGTATCGGCCAGCATTGCAGAACGGGACCCTAGACCGCCTTCAGTGGGCTTAAATCTTCAGCAATCCAAGTATGTAATCTATAGGCATACAACCTTTTGGCTCGCCTGGGCCACACACTGAGTGAAGAGGAATTGTCTTGGGCCGCATATATAAAATATATCCGCATATATAAAATGTAGCTTTATAATATAAAATCACATCATAATGTTACAAGCTTACAATCTTCTGAGGCCACATTACTAGCTGTCCAGGCTTGGATATGCCTGATGTAATCAGCAGCAACAATAGGTTTATTTAGTTCTATTACTTTGTATTCGTTTATTTGAATTAACACTCATTGTCTGGATAATCAAATAATCTTGCCTGCTGGCATTGATAATGTGGTAATTGTTTATAGAGTTTTTAGAGTTTATAAAGGCAAGGAGATGTGATAGGCTAATTTAATTAATGCTTTTTATTGTATATAAGAAATATGTATTTATTAAGTATCAAGTCAAGTTTGACACCTTGTGACTTCTTGAACATATCCATACTGTATAGTAATGTTTTCTTGGCAACAGTATCAAAATGGTTTGCCACTGCCTTCTTTAGGAGGGTTTTTGACTTCTCAATTTAATCTATAGCCCTGAATTTTCTAATGGTCTCCTATCAAAGTACTAATGAGGTCTGATTCTGCTTAGTTTGTTTTTTCAAAATCACTTTAGTTGCCATAATTATCAGTTTGATTGGGGTGGTTTTACATATCCTGAATCCAGCATGATACGACCCTGTTGTGAATTTAGGTGCAATTGTTCACTTGATATACAAATTATATAATTATATTTTAATCTCTTCCCACCAATACTCCTGTGTTTCTTTGAGAGCAATATTGTAGAGTTTTGAGTGCACACGTGTCCATAGAATTGGAAAAAGGATACAGTTTCTTTATGTATTGAAGCATGAACCAGGGTATACTGAGATCAAGCATGATAAGTGATGTGTGAATGGTTTCCCACTGTGTGAAAGAACACCTTTATCACAAAGGTTAATAACATGGCATCTCTAACATACTGTATCTACATGGCAGAAATTTCATAGGAACTCCAAATAAGTATTGGTGAAATCTCATGGGAATTCTTGTGCAAGTCAGGAGATTTCAATAACTAGATGGGTTTTTTGGTTCTTTTTTAAAAAGGAAGTTGGGTCATTCTACAAAATCACATAGTAGAGCCAACCCCTATTATACTTCATGTTGCTCAGAATCTGCAGGGTTTTCTACTGGTACATATATAGGCAGTCTTCAGTACTTTTGTGACCAGTAGGCACATTTGGACTTTTAAGATTGTTGTAAATACTCTCATAAAAGGATTGCTATGAGGAGGCATGTCTGTTTGCTAAACATCTACCATGATGGACATGACCAGGCATAAAATACTTATTTACTAAAAGCTAAACTGGTGCAGTTCTTATGACAGAATAACATAGTTGGAAGGGACCTTGGAGGTCTTCTAGTCCCACTCCCTGGTCAAGCAAGAGACCCCATACCATTCTGGACAAATGACTGACCGTTTTCTTCTTAGAAACATCCAGTGTTGGAGCAGCCACAACTTCTGGAGGCAAGTTGTTCCACTGATTAATTATTCTATCACGAAATTTCTCCTTAGTTCTAAGTTGCTTCTCTCCTTGATAAGCTTCCATCCATGGCTTCTTGTCCTGCCTTCAGGTGCTTTGGAGGATAGCTTGACTCCCTCTTCTTTGTGGCAGCCCCTGAGATATTGGAACATTGCAATCATGTCACCTCTGGTCCTTCTTTTTGTAAGACTAGACATACCCAGTTCCAGCAACTGTTCTTCATATGTTTTAGCCTCCAGGCCCTAATCATCTTTGTTGCTCTTCTCTGCACTCTGTCTAGAGTCAGAACCATAGTTCTTCCTTATGTTTTCTTCTCCCATACTTTGTATAAGGGACCTAGAAGCATCTCTAAATAAAAGGTTGATTGTGGAGGGTGGAACTATATTTTTTAAAAAACTTGTGCACGATCCATGGGTATAGTGATGCATATGAATATCATGTAAGAGTAGGACTGCTAAATAGGACTGCTGTATAAATTAACACTATGTAAATAGTCCTTGACTTATAATCACATTTGCTTAGTGACCAAAATTACAGTAGCATTAAAAAAAGTAATGTATGACCAATTCTCACACTGAACACCTATCACAGCATCCCCAAGGTCATGTGATCAGAATTTGGGCGCTTAGCAACCCACATGTATTTGCAATGATTGCAGTGTCCTGGGGTCATGTGATCACTATTTGTTACCATTTCTGACAAGCAAATTCAATGAAGGAAGCCAGATTTGCTTAATGATCATGTAATGCATTTAACTACAGCGAATTGATTAACAACCATGGCAAGACAAGGTTATAAAATCAGGCACAACTCACAACCACCACCTTGCTTAGCAACAGCAATTCTGGTCCCAATTGTGGTCATAACTCAAGGACAAACTGTATATGTTTACACAGAAACTCCATGGAATTTGGAAGTCTTTAGTTATGAGTTAAGTATGCATTGCACTTTTCACTGATTCTCCAGTCAGTTAAGCTTGAATACATTTGCATATAATCACATTCTCGCTGCAGATGCTTTTTTAAAGGATGAGATGTTTCCATTTAATAACAAAATATGTCATCCCTTGTGATAAAAAGACAACCATTCTCTTCTATTTCACACTTGAACCAACATAAACTTCAGAACGTGCAAGTAAATGTTAGGCTGATTTGGGGAAATTTCTCTGGGATAATTAATGAACTAAAACAGCTTTCTCCAAATCAATGCCTGAGGATTTATAATATTTATATAGCTGCTCATTTATATCAAACTATGGGTGGCTCTCAGTCAACAATTAAAACATCATTTATTTCCTATTTAACACATTAAGTGTTAGTATCTGCATATTGTAGAAAAACAATTGAACTGGCAATCTTTTTATTAATACAATTGTGGCTGTGCTAATTCTTAATAGATACCGTGGGGAAAATAGGTGATTTTCTGACAATTTTTTTGCTAGAATTTTGCTAGCTGTTATACATTCCTTTATGGTAGTTTGTGGAAATCCTTATGTGTTTGTCTTTGTGACATTATTTCTATACTTTCTATTTCTGGGAGTCTTTACAAATCAGAAAACAGCTAGGCAGCAGTTAGTAGAGCAAGCTGTGGATCACCTTCATTTTTGTACCAGGATATCCATAAAATGATATTAAATATTGTAAAAAGTTTAAATTATGTGTACTATATGTACTTACTTCTGAGTAAGCACAGACTCTATATCTTTTCTGTATGAGAAATATTATTAGGGGTTAGAGTGGAGGATATGTAGGTCGATGGTCTTTTTCGCCCTCCTCTGGAACCCTAGTTTTTAATCTTACGGGTAATTAAGACTTTGAGTGGAAAAAAAGGGATTCACTAATACCAACAGAAGATGCAAAAGACAAGATAGCAACCCAAAGCATCTGCTAGAAGAAGTGAAAGGGAAGAATGGGAGAAGTGAGCGAAATGCACTGAAGTTGAAAGCAAGGAGACCGTTTTCTGCTAAAATTACACAGGAAAGAAAGTTTGCCTTGAGAAGGAGGGGAGGTGTCTCTGAGACAATTATGTAAGTCAGATGATAGGCACTGCAAGGACACTGGGAATGGAGAAAGAAGGGGGAG